AGTCAAACCATTTTACAAATCTTAATATTGATTCAGGGAGAGGGCAGTTCAGAGAAAGTTGGAACTGGTTACCAGTTTATTACTGCAAAGCAGCTGCAAGCACAAGCAAGACAGATGCAGCAAGCAAGGGAAATGGTGAAGAAGAATAATGAAGAAGCTTCACTTGGAGGTTTTTAAGGTTGATGAACAAATCCAACAACAAGTCTTCTTTTAAATTCTGGCCAAATTTCCTTTGAGATGCTGTGTTGATGAAGTTAATTTTGCATTTTCTTGTTTGTTTTTTACTAAGGAAGCATGGTTCTGTTCTGTTATTGACCAATTAAACATGGTTCTGTTCTGTTATTGGCCAAGTAAACATGGTTCTGTTTTTTCTAATGCTACTGTATTAGTCTTGGATCTTATTAATATCTATTATTCAGGTTGATGATACCATGGTTCTATTCTGTTAGTCTTGGTTCTGTTCTCTTATTCAATGGCCATGTAGAATTTTGCTAGACCATTGCAAGAAAATGACAAGTTAACCAACAAAGTGAACAAATTTTTATAGATAAAATAACCAAAATACATATATTCCAGCCAGCAAAAACCATCTCTTACATGCAATCACAAAAACCACAACCGAAGACCCACATGCCTAATATCTGGTGATTCTAAGTAGCAATACACCAGAAATCAAACCAATGAAAATCAAAAAAATCAAACATATCACTTCACTAATCATCACAGCTTTTGAGTATCTCTTCTCCAGCTTCTTCACTTTCTTCTCCAAAACACTCACCTTTCTATCCATTAATCCACTGTGTTTCTTCAATTGCAGATTTTCTTGCAACAATTTCCCATTTTCAGTCACAATTTCCCATTTTCCTCCATCAATCTTCCATTTTCCAACAAAAGCTCATCTTTTTCTTGCATTATTTTCTCTTTCTCTTTAAAACTTTGCATTCTTTATCTTTCAAAACCAGCAGCAACTCCATGGCTCTACCCTCGATTTTTTCTTCACCAGCTAGGAAATGGAAGTAATTGCAAGGATTCTACATAAAAATCTTGTTAAATAATCAATTGAGAAAAACTTAAACCACTGACAAAAACTTAAACCACTGACAAAAAATACAGATATTATATAATTACCTTCTTCTTAGGACAACATCTAAACCTCTTACCCATGCTTTGGAAAGTAAAGGAAGTCCGAATAACAGCATTTAACCCACAGTTGCATCTATTATCTCCACTTCTGGACTCTGTACATTCTGCAAAGCTTCCACTCTCAAATGAACCTGAACCCGAACCCAAACTCCGTGCAGAACCAGCTTCCATTTTATGATTCTCACAAACCCAAGACAAATAGCAGAGGATTAGGGTTCACGGGAAGAAGGAGGAACAAAAAATGCAGATGATTTCGGGTTCGGGTTTGAAGAAGAATGAATCACAAGACAAGGTGCAAGGGTTTTAAGGTTCGAAGAAGAAGAAGGAATCGAGATTTACAAAAGGATTTAGGGGTCGACGAAGAAGGAATCAAGAGTGGTTCTAGAGGATTTATGGGTCGAAGAAGAAAGAATCAGTTTGATCTGCAGGCATCATCGATTGCAGGAAGCAAGCTTTCTCGATTTCTGGAAACTGAGCCGTTGGAAACATGGAAGTAAATACTGGAATGGTTGCTGGTTATTACCAGAAGATTTAGGGGGTTTCGAAGAACAAAGGATCTAGGGCTTAAAGGGGCAAAGGGGCAAAGGGGCAAAGGAAACAGAGAGTAAAGTGAAGAGTTTGTAAGAGGAAAAGGAGACTGCATCGATGAAAGCAGACAATGACCTGTTTGCCCACTATTTTGTTTTATTTAGAAAGGCTGGAGGGACAAAAAAATCAAACGTGGATTGAAAATGGTGCTATATGCTGAGTTGGTTTTTCCACGTAGGCATGAAAAAATTAAAAGTGGTAATTGTTGGACACTTAACGTGCCAAGTATGCAACCTGTCAACGGAAGGACCATTTGGGTTCCAGAAAAATGAAGTTAAAGGACCACTTGGGTGCTTTCTGTAGTTAAAGGACGAACTAAGTTTTGAAATGAAAGTTCAGGGACCAAATTGGGTATTAAACCTATATATATATATATATATGAGAGGGAATAATTATGCCGTTTCTAAATTCCTGGCCGCCCCACTCAGGCTGAAAGTTCTAGCCTGGAAGCTGAAACTGTTGACAATTGGGACGTTCAGGGACGCACGTCATTACTCTAAATGTTCAAAGGATGCCACATGCAACAGCACCCCGTCTTAAACCAAAACCGCTGGTGTGGACTTGGACCCTGACCCCAGTTTTAAGAAGAACCATGGGCGCCCGGGCCCGCGCACGCGCCCGCTCCCGCTGTCTGCGCGAATCACATCTTTTCACGATACAATCCATTATTATTATTACTATTTTCAGTATTAACTTCTTATTTGATAATCAAATTAAAATTAGTTGATTTAAAATCAAATCGCATTGTATTTAATCCATTAAAAAAAAAACTTTTCGTAACATTTATTTTTTTATTTATAAAATTAAAATCCAAAATTTTATTTAAATAAAATTAAAATCCTTCCACTTCTGTAAACAATTTGCTGGTAGAGACCGAAGCATATTCCTTTTCAATACCCTTGAACCCAAATGATCACCTCGTGATGCCCACGAAAACACATCACCACCGTCCACTTCATCACTAACTTTCCGAAATCAACGGCCTCGATTTACATTTATTCCCTAAAACTTCCCGTCGAAATTCACTTCTGCTCCTCTCACTCTTCCTCCCTGCCTACTAAATCAGTACGTCGCAGAACCTAGCTTGCGTCGGACGAGATGGCCACGATCAAGGCTGTGAAAGCCCGTCAGATCTTCGACAGCCGTGGAAACCCTACCGTTGAAGTAAGTTTCATTCTATATTTCCATGTTTTCCGTTGGTCTTCTCAGTCGTCTTCTTCGTTCTTTTGTGGTTTGTTTGGCTCTTGAGTTACTATGTAAGGTGCTGTTTGGCTACTGAGAAAATGCGTGCGTGGTGTGCTGATGAATGTCGACTGATGAACAGGTTGATGTTGTTCTCTCGGACGGGAGCGTCGCCAGAGCTGCTGTGCCCAGCGGTGCTTCAACTGGTGCAAAATTGCTTTACCTCTGTTTCTTTGATTTTGTCTTCCGATTCTTTTTTTTCTTTTTTTCTTTTTTTCTGAAATAATCTTGTGTTATGTAAACAATGTGGTGATTTAGTCATGTTTGATTGTCTTTGTAGGTATCTATGAAGCTTTGGAATTGAGAGATGGAGGATCTGACTATCTTGGGAAAGGTGTGCTAAAGGTATGCTAATTTAACTAATTTCTCTTTCTGGATGCAAGTGTGAATAGTAACCTTTTGAAATTGTTGAATCTTTTCCTATGTGCTTGTAATTGAGATTCTATAAACTGCATTATGTTCTTAATGATAATCTGTTATTGCTATTGTGATACTGTAAATATTTGTATGCAGTAGGCAGTTGTAATAATTCTTATGTTCTTAACCTTTAATGATGTTCAGGCTGTGGAAAATGTGAATACCATCATTGGACCTGCTTTGATTGGCAAGGTATCCTGAGAATTCTAAGTTATAACTTTAATTTTTTGACCCTGCATTTTGAGATTGATTTGTGTTTGCAATTGTTCTGCAATTACAGGACCCAACCAAGCAGGCTGAAATCGATAATTTCATGGTACAACAGCTTGATGGAACTGTAAATGAATGGGGATGGTGCAAAGAGAAGGTATATAAATATTCCTTTTCCCCTGTGTCTTTTGGGGATTTTTCCTGCTTTTTTAATTTTGCTAATTGTTGATTGTTTCAGCTCGGAGCAAATGCTATATTGGCTGTTTCTCTTGCTGTTTGTAAAGCAGGTGCTATGGTGAAAAAGATTCCCCTGTATCAGGTATTTATCATGTTGTTTTGTGGACCTCCTCTCATTAATGTTTCCTTTATGGAGATTGACCGTTTTAATTTCTTTAAATTACAGCACATTGCCAATCTTGCTGGTAACAAGAATCTCGTCCTGCCTGTACCTGCATTCAATGTTATCAATGGAGGTTCACATGCTGGGAATAAACTGGCGATGCAGGTAATGTTATGCAATAAAGACTTTTTGCACTGGATGTTCTCTGTCCTATTGAAGTGCTAATTCATGTCCCTCATGTAGGAATTCATGATTCTACCTGTTGGAGCATCTTCCTTCAAAGAAGCCATGAAGATGGGCGTAGAGGTGTATCATCACCTGAAGGTGGCTTGTCTTTATCCTTCCTTTTTTATTCTCCCCAGGGTACTTTCAATTTTTGTCTTTTGGTCCTGCACAATTTAACTTTTCTTGTATGTTGTATTGCAGGCTGTTATTAAGAAGAAGTATGGACAGGATGCTACCAATGTTGGTGATGAAGGTGGCTTTGCTCCAAACATTCAGGTCAGTTGCTTAATTTTTTTTTAAGAACAAAAAACTGTTTTCCCTAAGAATATGTGCTTAAGTATCATAATGCTCTGAGACCCTAAAAGGTCAATATTCTGAGTTGATATAGAGTTAATTATTCCCTAATCAATGTGTAAAGGAAAACAGAAATCAGTTCTGAATCAGACATCATCCATTCACTTGCATGTTTGTTTTGCAGGAAAATAAAGAGGGCCTTGAGCTGCTAAAGACAGCTATAGCTAAAGCCGGATATACTGGAAAGGTACATCCTGATTTATTTGGTATTTTAGTCTACTATGGCCTTGTATATTTAAATTCATTTTCTACAGTTGAAAGATCACTATAAATTGGTGCTTGCCTTGGCAGGTTGTTATTGGCATGGATGTTGCTGCTTCTGAGTTCTACGATATCAATGATAAAACCTATGACTTGAATTTCAAGGAAGAGGTATGTTAAGATCGTTATTTGGCTCATGTCTGATAGATCAAACGTTGGTGGGGATCACTTTATTTGACTTATGACTATGTTTCATTCATGCTGCAGAACAATGATGGATCACAGAAAATTTCAGGAGACAGTTTGAAGAATGTTTACAAGTCTTTTGTGACTGACTATCCAATTGTCTCAATTGAGGACCCATTTGATCAGGATGATTGGGAGCACTATGCAAAGTTGACATGTGAAATTGGTGAGGAGGTTCAGATTGTTGGTGATGATCTCCTAGTCACAAACCCTAAGGTAACTACAATTTTATTGGGTTGAAAAGATCATAAATTTAATGTTGTGAGGCTCTTATATGCTTTGTTATTTATATGCTCTGTTCTTTATGTGTGCTGCAGCGTGTGGAGAAAGCAATTAAGGAGAAGACTTGCAATGCCCTGCTCTTGAAGGTAGTACTCAACCTCTTTCTGAGCTAGTTGTGCCGTGTGCATTTTGTTATAGTTAAAATTTTGTTGTTTGTCAATGTTTTGTTGCTTGAATTGCACAGAATTCAAAGTGAACTTGATATTGATACTCTAGAAACTATGATCTGTTAGGTGAATCAAATTGGTTCTGTCACTGAGAGTATTCAAGCTGTGAAGATGTCTAAGCATGCTGGTTGGGGTGTCATGGCAAGCCACCGAAGGTACTGTTTCCCTGCATTATTCTTTAGCTTGATGTATATTGTTCTCCATCTTTTGAACTGTCATCCTTTTTACTATGTGTTTTTAGAAGCATCTCTCGAATAATGTGTTTGTTGTCCAATGTAGTGGTGAAACTGAGGATACCTTCATTGCAGACCTTTCGGTTGGGTTGGCAACAGTGAGTATTATGCTAGTTTTTCTTATTGTAGTTCATTTTTGGTCCAACTTTTTCTTCTCAGGATTTTCATTTATCTTGTATAATGGATTTTAGATGGACCTGCTTAGTTTTTCCATGGTGACCATTGAGAAAATAGTCTCAAGAGATTCTGTAATTTTAGGAGCAGTTCCCTCTCTACTCTGTCCAATCTGAATCTACTCTTTTCAATGAGTTTGATTAGATTAGTTTTAGGGAATGACCTTAAATTATTGACTCATTTAGTAAAACAACAAAGAACTGCGGAATATATGAGAAACATGTTTGTGCTACTTAACCTTTATGAGGTCGATTAATTTCTTATGTCATTTGTGAAACAGGGTCAGATCAAGACTGGTGCTCCTTGCAGATCAGAACGTCTTGCTAAGTACAACCAGGTAAACCCCTACTTGTTTCTGCTCTCAGTTTCAAAGCATTATGCTCTTTTCCAACTGTAGCACTTATTGTTGGGGTCTGGTCCTTGGAGTGAGCTGACTGTTAAAATCTTTTTATGGCAGCTTCTCAGGATAGAAGAAGAACTAGGATCTGCAGCAGTCTATGCTGGGGCAAAGTTCAGAGCACCAGTGGAACCTTACTAACTTCTTTGATAGCTGCACGGTTTGCAATAAGCATCATCGTACTAGTTTCGAAGTTTGACCCATCTCAACTATCAGGAGACTCTTAAAACTTTTTAAGCTATCTCGTCTCTCCTAGTAGTGAATTATCAGTATGTTTGCTAGTAAAGAGGTTGTGGATGTTTTGTGCGGTAAGATGTTTTTTGTGTGGCTTTGCTTTCTTTTATGCAGATCATGTTTTGTTTAAACTTCGTTTCAGTTTTGAGGTACTTAAAGACTATCGGATAGCTATTTTCTGCATTAACTAACGGTAGGAAGTCTTCCAAGACGCTTCTGGAAGACATTCTTTTTTAGGCTTTTGCCAGGCTACTAAAATGCATGACCCCGGTATGGTACTAGGGGTATGGGGTTTTTTCATTTTTGGATAAAGAGAGTATGGTGTTAATAACTCAAAATAAGTACATCAATGGAGGTCTGCATATGGCAACTTATTAACAAAGATTATATAATCCTGATTAAAAAATATTAATTTTATTTGATTTAATTATTAAAAACAGTTAATAATTGCACTTGGCCAGTGTGGTTTCGTGACTAGAGCCACTGAAAA